TAAGGACTGATTTGGTTACAAATAGTGATCGCTCCTTACGCAGGAATGCGATTATTAGTTCCAATTCTGTTAATACACAAAATAAAACAAAGTCCATCACAGAATGCGGAACTGGTATATTTCAATAACCATTATGAATACTAATCAACTTAATTGATTACTCACTGTTTATTAAATCGTCTCCAAAAAATTTGTCGTGAATTATCTAGCAACTGATTTATATTATGTTTTTGTAATCAACTTAATTATATTAATTAATTTCTTTTACTTGTGTATTTTGAAATAAATAAATCACTTTAAATGGAATTTGGTTGAAGTAAAAAACAATAATCGACTCTGAGTTAACTCAGAGGTTGTTCTTTATTTAGTGACTAGGAATTCTGTACTTATTGAAGAAGTATACAATGAAGTTAGTCTTCTATAGGATATTTATTTCCTCACTCAAAGACTAGCTATCTTTGATCATAGGTGCCTGCGTTCTATTTCCCGTGTAAAGTGGCATAATAAGGTGAGCAACATGGAGGTTAGGCGTAGAGTTCTAGGTAAACAGGGGAAATCAATCGACGAAGTCGTGAAGCTACATAGACTGAGATGGTTAGGACATGTGTTACGTATGCCAAGCCATCGCCTCCCTCGACGAGAAATGTTAGCGGATATAGGGTCAGGCTGGAAAAAAGCTAGCGGCGGTCAAACAAAAACATGGCTGCACCAGTCAATGAAATCCACAACAGTTGGTCTAAGCCACGTAGGAAGGTGTAGACTTCCAGGCTGGGGTCCTCGGGACGCTAAAAATCAATGGTTGGAAACAATTGATGACATGGCTCAAAATCGTTCTCAATGGCTCAGATGCATCCACTCCTTGTGACTCATGATTTCCAGTGCAACTGTTTTATGGGGAGGTGATATATATATATATATATATGTGTGTGTACGGTGGTCTCTCTCTTTCTGTTGCTCTCTTAGTCTGTGACCATTTCACTTTGATGAACCTGTCTCCTTTAACAATGTATATTCCCCTTATAGTATATATAATATGTGTGTTTGTTGACAATCTGTTCTTGGTGATATATATATCCATATAATATGTGTGTTTGTTTGACAGTCTGTTATATTTCGCTATGTATATATGGATCGATACTCCGTTATAATTAGCCAATCATGTTAAGACTGTCTATTGATTTGTTCACACACTTGTTTGGACATTCATACATATTTTGCTCTCACACTATTGTGTGATATATATTTGATTCTCCTTGTGTTTGGAAAATAGAAGTATCATTGCAAACCTAGTGGTCTTCTGATTTCCGTCTTTCTTGCGTCAGGACTATTAAATTCTCGACCAGTACATAACAATAATTTGACGACTAGTACATAACAGATACTTTAATAGAGATGTCTCCAACTGCAGCACTTGGTGACGCGAATTCGAATCTCCGAGGGAACATCGGTTCCTTATGAGGTTCCGACATTCCTTGTTGACACATGCCGACAGGCATAAAAACTGTGTGCACAGCTAGCCAGCTGATTGTTTCCAATCGTCAAAGTAGAATTAAATTTAGCCACAAGCAAAAGAATCACAATGACTACAAATCGCACAGAATTAACAATCATTATTATTATTGTTTCCTTTAACTACTAGAGGAACATAGGGCTTCAGCCGCACGTCTCCATAGCGTTTAGTTCTCTGCCAACGTTTGCACCTGGCTCCACGTCTGCCCGCATGATTTCATCTCCTCTACACATGACCTTCTCCTTGAACGACCGATTCGCCACTTCTCATTGAGGTTCCACTCGAGAGCCTGGTGTGTCACGTCCCTTGACGGTTTATTTTCTCAGAGTATGACCAGTCCACCTCCATTTCTTCCTCCATACTTGCTGCACAATCGGTTCCTGGTTGGTTCGTTCCCAGAGATCCCTGCTGCTGAGCTCTTCTGGCCATCTGATATTGATTGAAGTATTGGGCGAGGACAGATGTTGATGAAAGTCTGTAGTTTGTTTGAAGTGCCCTTCGTGACGCGCCAAGTCTCTCATCCGTATAGTAGCAATGCCTTCACATTGGAGCTGAAAATCCGGATCTTATTTTTCGTGCTGAGTGCTGTTGACCTCCACACAGACTTGAGAGTGATGAAAGATTGCCTTGCTTTCCCTATCCTCGCTTTGATATCCTCATCACTCCGTCTGCCTGTAGTTGAAACGATGCTTCCCAGGTAGGTATAGGAGGGTACTTCTTTCAGATTTCTCCCATTTATGCTGATTGTTGTCTGTTGTTGCTGCTGTTGCTGTTGGCCAGGAATCTTCATCACCTACACCTGTCTTATCTATGTTCAGCTGAAGGCCTATCTTTGATGCTTCCTCTGCCAACTTGTTGCTTTTCATTTGCGTATCTTCCAGTTTGTGGGAAATCAGACACATATCATCATCAGCGAAGTTCAGATCCTCCAAGTTTTTGTGTGGGTCCATTTTATGACTGTTTCCTTGCTGCCCGGCCAGCTGTGTTGGTCAAATTATCCAGTCTACCGCCATCAGGAAAATCACTGGAGTTAGTAGGCAGCCAGCCAGCCTTACCTTACTCCTGTCTGCACTTCGAAGGATGCCGTGAGTTCCCCGTTATGGATTACTTGGCGAATAGCATTGCCGTACAACAGCTCGAAGAAGTGTGCAATTATCGGAGGCACTCTAGTAGTGAAGTAGTTGCCAAATCACCTCTCGATATACGCTGTCGAAGGCCTTTTCAAAGTCAATGAAGTTGAGGTAGAGAGGTGACTGTCATTCCAAGTTAAGTTCAATGATGATCCGTAGTGTTGCGATTCGATCGATACATGACTTGTTTCTCCTGCATCCAGCCGGTTCCGGTCGAAGTTTTTCATCCAGGGCGTGAGACTTTCCGAGCACAAATTATTGCTCATAATCCTATCACTCTGATACGATTATGAGCAATACTTTGTTTTAGATTGAATAATCACTGTTTACCACAATCGTACCATTGAACCAACACCCAACCGTAAAACTCTGTCATCTACGGAGAGATTAGTCTTCCGAATAGTTTTGCTTAAAATGAGAAAAAATTAAAATATTTCAGTACATTACTTCTGAATCAACAAGTGTGGTAGGTGCGCCTGTGAACTATTGGCTTCATAAAAAAGAGTATGTATGTAGCATGAAAAGAATAACCTCGTCTAGCTTACTAGTCCGTCCAAAGACCGGGAAAAAAGGAATTGGGAAGGATGGATGATGCTAATTTGTAAAAGTTTTCGGGGAGCCAGTAGACTTGTTTCTTTTCTTTCGACAATAGCAAACGCAGGCGTAGGGATATAGAATATCTGTCCCATGTTTCAGGCTGGCAAGGTTGCTCAGATTGCAGATGAAAGGAGGGAATATGGTACAGAGGTATTAGGGATTTATGAGAGGAAACAGGACGGAAGTGGACTTTCCAAAATATAAACTGGAGGATCAGTAATCTCCGATCACACAAATGACAGACAGCGGCTCACTAAGGGTGTTCCTATCATGCTATTGCCCACAGTATCGAAGCGTCTCATGCAATGAGAACCAATCTCCTCCACGATCACGATAGAAAGACTCAACTTCAAAGGTAAGAAGGTTAAGAATATATAGCGGTATGCACCTACGAGAAACCCTACAACATCACATCACGTAACTAGATCGCTAACCCGGAAGAAATGAATAGATGAAACTGGCGAAAGATAGTGGAGGAAACCGGAATACCAAAGAGAGAAAAAGGGAAATACTGGACTAAATACTTCAAATGACTCTTGGATCGATTGACACCTACTAGTCCAGAAATACCATCAGACGACACCAATTTATCAGTGAACAATCCCCTCCAACAAAACCAGCAGTTTTTGTCGCTGGAGTGAGTAGTAGAACTAAATGTAATTCCACCAAAAGCACTGGAAACAAAACTGGAGACTCCACAGAACATGCCCACATAACTACTGCAAAAAGGTGTGTAAGGAAAAAAGGTAACTCTCGACAGGGAAAAGGCTACCTTGCCAAACCGATGAAGAAGAATAACACAAATCTCACTCAACAGTTATATGATGATGCCACAAGGAAAAACAATTCACAACGAGAGTAGGCCAAGGCTCCCTACTATAGCTGATCATCCTCCCAATTGTAATGGAACAGAGCAGGCGACAAACCGTGGGCTCAGAAGAAAAGCATATGTTTCAGTGACGAGAAAAGCATAAAACACTTGAATTTTGTAAATGATTTATGTCTGTCTCACAGCACCGAAGATTTACAAACTAAAAACAACAAGTTAGCAGAAGAGACAGGCAGCGAAGATAGGACTTCAATTAAAGGTAGAAAAGACCGAGGAGATGAAGATGCCTAACCAACAACAGAAAGTACCTAAAACCATTAACGGGAGAAATCTGAAGGAAGTCATCTCTTTCACTCAACTCAGCAGCATCGTTTCAACTACACACGGAACGGATAAGGATATCAAAGCAATTATCAGAAAAGCAAGACGCTCATTACTCTGAAATCAGTATAGAGACCAACAGCATTTAGCACGAGAAACAAAACTTTCGTCAATAGCTGCATTTTTTAGTTCGACAGTGAAATGAGATAGGCGACCAGAAAAGAACTATGGCAATGAACCACTCGAATAGCTATTGTCCAATATATATGCAGAAAGAAATGGAGGTGAATTGGACATACATCAAGGAGACCTTCATGTGGCATCACACTCCAGACAGGTCTTCTAGTGGAACCTGAATGGAAAGCAAAGTGATGGATACCCGAGAGTGACATGGAGATCATCTGGAGAAAAGACGAGAGCTTTTGGGCAGTCGCGAAGCAAGCTAAAAGTGATGACAGAGAACGAGGTGAAAAATTAAAATGTGCTGTTGAAGCCCCGCATTCCACTCGGGAAGCAAAGAATGAGCAATAACTATGAACTATTAACTGTTAAAACAAATCAATACGTTATTTGCAACTTTATGAATACCAATACTGGTGATACTTTTACTTACTTCTTCTAATCCTCCATGTTCAAGTGCAAAATTGTAGACAAATCTTCGTTCACTTGGATTATTCATAGCATCTTCACACCCAATAGCACGTAATAAATTGCGCATAATTGCACTTTCTTGATGGGTTATATCAATCGTCTTGGCTATTTTATCATAACCAAAATGTTCAACATGACGAAAGTTTGATGGATTACTGATATCTTTGGAAGTGAGCTTCTGCTAAATAAAATATTTAAAAAATTCATAAGTATAAAATGCGATAAGAGCGCATATTTTACACAAGGATGATAATGAAGGAATTAAACAACAACTAATGGGGAAGTGAAAGTAAACTGAATTCAATTTTATCATTACTATACAATGATTTACATAAAAAGCCACTGCTGCTTCCTGACTATATTATCGGAATTCATTCTGTTGTTTCACAATACAGCATGAAGTAGCCTTAATGTTTCAATGTCATACATAACGGACGCACTGACACCATTTTGAAAGCATACATTCATTTTAAATGGACTGAATAGTGGTAGAAACATTAAACTGAACTATTTCAGAACAATCTTTACTCAGTACAGTCAGTTAAATAATAATAATAATGAGTTGAGTTCAAAATATCTTTCCTAAAAAACGACGATATAAGGCATGTTCTTTTCGAGTTCTTTTCGTTCCAAGTGCGACATGGGACTTGAGACCTTAGAGTTTCAGTAACGGTGTTTTTTTTACAGGGTAGGGTTGGTAGCCTCTGATCGACCTTCCCTAGTTTTCTAGACTTGCTACCAACAGCTAGGTGCAGTTTAGGCACATGTCAGACGAGAATCACAGCCCGCTCGAACCACGTGGGTTGTTGACACGCATTGCACCAACTATGAACCATCGATGCACTAAAAGGCGTGTACACCAGGCTAGTTATTAAATAAATTCACAAAAGAAATCAGTCTTGATTCTAGTTTTTATCAAAATCTCGTATTTGAATCGGCTTAGAAATATGCCCCAAACTGTCGAACCTTTTGAAGTCATGTTACGAATTAGTTGAATGTTGAAAAGGCTAACTGACTACGTTAAACTTTAAGCACCACCAGCTACCTATGGAGTGCGACCGCACCAATGACCTTGAAACGCCCACTGAGCAAGTTTGTGAAACCTAGCAAATAATGTTGCCATCATCAATAAAATATGCTCATCAAAGTACTGTGCTATTAAGTGGGACATCTGGTAACTCCATAAGATTTTATTCTGATAAATCACACAGTTTTATACAGTAGTATTAAATGATGACGTTTCGAGCAAAAACTATTGCTCATAGTCGTATCAAGTCACTCACAAGTTTCAGCTAACGCTTTGAAAAGACTAAGTTATGGTTTAAGCCAAGGATAAGTTAGGGTTTGGTTAACCTAAATAAAGGCAACATTAGGGTTGGTTCGAGTTAGATTACGGTTAGTTTAGGGATGTTTTCACGTTACGGTTAGGTTCAGGAAAGATTAGGGTTATTGTTAGGTTGAGAAGACCTGAATAATTACGTGCATAGAATGTGGTTAAATTACTCTGTTGATATAAGAATAGAACAAATAAAGTATAATTATATTTTAATAGTTTACACACAATGATAAGTTTTGTTATTGGTAATATTTCGAGCAAAATTACCAATAACAAAACTTATCATTGTGTGTAAACTATTAAAATATAATTATACTTTATTTGATCTAATCCACAATGCTTAAACTTTTTACTGATATAAGAATAGAACTTGTGTGGTGTGGTAGAGTATAGTCCCATTGTGGGTAACATTCATTCTGATAAGGTCTCACAGTGCTATGCAGTAGTATTTACTGATGACGTTTCGATCACAATTTATTGCTCAGGAAATATTACTGTATTACATTACGAGACTCTATCAAAATTAATTTTACCCACAATGTAATTAAATTCTGTTGATAATCCAACATTAAACTGAAATATATTTTTGTCACATGTGAGAGCAAGGTATCCCTCTGTAACACCTTTCTACAGATTTTATGCATTATTTCCTGAATATATGTATTCCATACAAAAAAATGCCTTCTTCACGTGATTGATGCGCTCGCTGACTGGTGGTCAGTGGTGCTTAAAGTTCAACTTTCACGGTTAACTAATCATCATCAACTAGAAGTTAATTTTTTGAGTTAACCGCCAGTTGAATGTATTTTTCATAACACACATTCCTTTCCTTGATACGAATGTAACTGGAAGTATAAAACGACAATCTATCGGTTTCGAAATAGGACTTTGCACCGATGTGCGGTAGTTCAAGTCGCCACACTCCATGTAGCACACAAAGCAAGAGAAGAAATACAAAATAGAGACAGTAAACAGAGATGTGAGACGAAGGAATAGTAATAACGATGAACAATACAGTTTAATTGGAAATCATAAGTCACAAGGAGTGGATGCATCTGACCCAGCCACTGAGAACGATTTTGAGCCATATCACCAATTGTTTCCAGCCTTCATTGGTTTTCACCGTCCCGAGGACCCCAACCAAGAAGTCTGCACCTTCCTATGTGGCTTAGACTAACTGTCGTGGATTTCATTGACTGGTGCAGCCATGTTTTGGTTTGACCGCCACTAGCTCTTTTCCAGCCTGACATATGTCTCCTAACACTGCTCGTCGAGGAAGGCGATCGAAAGCTAGGCATACGTAACATATGTCTTAACCATCTCAGTTGATGTAATTTCAAAGCCTCGTCGATTGATTTCACCTCCTTACCTAGCACTCAATGCCTTACCTCAAACTTGCTCACCATATTATACCACTGCACACGGGAGATAGAACGCAGGCACCTACGATCAAAGACAGCCAGCCTTTTCATGTCTTCCCCTCTCAATGGCCACGTCTCGCAGCTATAAAGGTGGACGGAGCGGAGTTCTGAGCAGTACAAACGCCCTTTGGTCGATAGCCAGATATCACGTCTACACCAGAGACGGTGTAGACTGGCATATGCGAAACTAACCCTCTGTGTCCGTGCTGAGATTTCGTCGAAGATCAACCCGTCGTCACTGGCTGATGGTACTTCCCAAATAAGTGAAGCGGTCAACGTGCTCTACCACTTTACTCTCTATTTCTAAACTAGGCGTCGATGTAGTCCAGTCCTGTAACATCATCTTGCATTTGGCGGGAGCGAAACGCATGCCAAACATTCGTAGATTGCGGCTCAAGGTGTTTAGAAGACTCTGCATTTTGTCAGCGTCCTCGCCTAAAAGGACTATATCATCTGCATATTCCAAGTCAACGAGATTATTTCCCGGTAGCAAGTCAATCCCTGAGTCACTGAAGTGAGTTAGGGTTAAGTCCATTAGTACATCTACGGTGAAGTTGAATAGAAAAGGAGATAATGGGCATCCTTGACGGACACCACTAGTCGTCACCGCTTCAGATGACAACTCGCCGTAAGCCCTCATCTAGCTGCATGAGTACGAGTAGAGTGCCTTAAACAGTGGAATGTATTTTCTCGGCATTCATTTTATAGCCAAGCATCGCCATAGAACCTCTCGGGCGACAGAATCGAATTCCGCCTTTAGGTCGAGAAATATAATGATTGTTGGACACCGGTAGGAATGACTGTGTTCTAGAATCTGTCGGATGGTGAAGATATGATCAATACACCCTCTTCCTGGTCTAAAGCCTGCCTGGCTCTCTCGTGTTTGTGCTTCCCGAGCACCACTCAGTCTACGCATTATTATTGAGCCTAGGACTTTAGATACTATATTAGTTAAGCTAATCCGTCTGTGATTATCACAGGAAGACCTGTTTCCCTTCTTGTATATGGGGATAATCAGTGACTTACACCAACCCGATGGGACTTCCTCTGATTCCCAGACGCTGCCTAGTACCTCAGTTAGTGCAGACAGTAAAGTGTCCCCACTGTACCTGAATACCTCTGGAGTCATTCCATCAGGTCCTACTGCTTTCCCTTGTTTCAGACTAGTGGCAGCTTTAGTAACCTAAGTTAAGGAAGGGAGACCTGTGTCTATATCCTATTCAGAGAGGTGTTGGATGTTCAGCAGTAGGCCAATTAAATTACTCCTGATAGTGTTCTTTCCAGCGTTCCAGTCGTCTATCCTTGGAGCTAATTACGGTACCATTTTTCTCGGAGACTGTTTCACTTATCATTTGCCTTTTACCACTTGTTTCCCTGATAAGCCTAAATAGTTGTCTGGTGTTACCAATCGCCGATGCCTTTGCCATCTCTTTTGCTTTTGTCGCCCACCACTGTTCCCGGTCGTTGCGAAGGCTTCTTGTTAGTTTTCGTTTGAGTAGCTTTCACTCCTCATCATAATCGGAGCTCGCCGGAATCAGTCTTCTTGCGTCAATCAGTTCGAATAAGGTGGTAGAGATCAATGGCTCTTACTAACTGTTGGTTTCTGCTTATTAACACTTTTTACAGCTGTGTCTACAGCTAACTGTATGTTGTACAAGGCTACCTCAGGGGAAGTCCTGCTGTTGAACTCAGAAACTTGTTTCGCTACTTTTTCCTTAAACTGGGACTCAGTATCTCGATCTCGTTTGGAGACGCAACTGTTTCGCTGCCGTCAATTTATTATGTCCATTTAGTAGTAAGCGTAAACGTATGCGAACCACAGCATGATCAGAGTCTACGCACGTGTTCCAGAAGGAGCCACAGTCTTCTACTGACCCTCGTCAACGATACCCTATGGCTATGTGGTCTATCTGAGTCCAGCGTCGATTTGGTGATGGAGGTCGCCAGGTTACACAATGTCTCTCTTTGTGCCTAAAGTTAGAGCTGACTAGGAACAGACGATTTTCTTAGCAAAGCTGTAGAGGGCGATCACTGTTGTCGGTTCGTCGGCAGGGAACTCCATACGTACCACCTACAAACTTCTCAGTCTGGCACAACTTCCCTACTTGGACATTGAAGTCGCCTGCTGCAACAACTCTATCTGAACGTTTTGCTTTTCGCAGCAAATTAGACAGCTTCAGGTGGACATCATCCTTTACTTCATCCAAACTGCAAACTGTTGGAGCGTAAGCAGAGACTACGAAAAGGCGACGACGGGTAGCGCCGTCTTTCCTTCTTCTAACGGACCCTTTCAGACGGACCGCACACATATGACTATCTACTGGGATCCAGTCAAGAAGTCACTTTTCCGCCCTAACACTCAGTGCTATCCCTACTCTTGCGAGTCCTCATGAGCTAGCTGGTGGTCTCTTGACACCCTTAAAG